CTCACATCATCATCCCACTCACATCATCATCCAACTCACATCATTATCCCAACTCACATCATCATCCCACTCACATCATCATCCCAACTCACACATTATTCCAACTCACATCATTATTCCAACTCACATCATCATCCCAACTCACATCATCCCAACTCACATCATAATCCCAACTCACATCATTATTCTAACTCACATCATAATCCCAACTCACATCATCATCATCCCAACTTAATAATCATCATTTCAACTCACATCATCCCCACTCATGACATCATCTCCACTCACGACATCATTCCAACTCATATAACCCCCACTCACGATTTGATCCCCACTCACATTACCCACACTCACATCATCCCTATTCATGTCATCATCCCCACTCGCATCATCCCCACTCACACCATCCCCCACTCACATCATTCTCACTCACATCACCGCCCCACTCACATAACCCCCACTCATGACATCATCCCCGCTCACGACATCATCCCCACTCATATCACCCCACTCACATCATCTCCACTTATGCAATTTGTTTTAACTTGATATGTTGCAAAGCTCATTTAGTTTGTTTGAATCATCGGCATTGTCAAGGATGCTGTGGTTCAGTTGTGCTCGCATTAAGCTTACTATCCAATATATCAAACACTGATCTACGAAAGAATTTCACATGAATTGGTTAATTATTTTTAAAACTTTTCCGTGATAGTTCAAAAAGTATAAGATCATCATGGAGAAATGTTGGCATACCTAAGATCAATATCTTTGTGGCCAGTTTGTTTAGTACCCATAAATAGTCCCCACAAAATGACGGAAAACTGCATCAGCACAATTAACTCTCAATGCAGCAGTGATATTCTGGGATCCCGTATCGAGGTAGACTTCTATTTACGCTGATCAACTGATTCGCTATTAACAACATGTTTTCTAGTCAGATTTTGGTATAGCATGGATGGCGATGCGGAGTGACATAACAACGACAATTTACTTCAAAATACTCCTTCACGACATCATAGCTACCTGATCACGGCAGATATTACGACAATCACCATACACTCATACATCGTCAAAACTTTCCATGATACCATCATACCCATTTATTCCCATTCATGATACCATTCTCACTTATGACATCATCCTACTCACATCATCACCCCATCTCACATTATTATTCCAACTCACATCATTATCCCAAATCACATCATCATTCCAACTCAAATCATCATCCCAATCACATCATCATCCCAACTCACATCATCATCCCACTCCCGTTATCATCCCAACTCACATCATTATCCCAACCCACATCATTATCTAAACCCACATCATCACCCCACTCTCATCATCATCCCAACTCACATCATCATCCCAACTCACATTATTATCCCAACTCACATCATTTTCCCAACCCACATCGTCACCCCACACCCATCATTATCCCAACTCACATCATCATCCCAAATCATATCATTGTCCCAATTCACATCATCATCCTACTCTCATCATCATCCCAACTCACATCATTATCCCAACTCACATCGCCATCCCCACTCACATCATCATCCCCACTCCCATCATCATCCCAACTCACATTATTATCCCAACTCATATAATCATCCCAACTCACATAATCATCCCCACACCAGCATTATCCCAACTCACATCATTATTCCAACTCACATCATCATCCCAACTCACATCATTATCTCAACTCACATCATTATCTAAACTCACATCATCATCCCAGTCACATCATCATCCCACTCCCATCATCATCCCAACTCAGATCACTATCCCAACTCACATAATCCCCACTCATGAAA